GAAAAGGAGAAAGAATTAGGACAAAAGAAGGAGTTATTTATAAAATGAAATGCATTCAATTCTAAGGTTTTTTTTTTTTTTAATTAAATGCCCTTTTATGAAATTGCTGAGTAAATGTAATTTATTTGCCATTACCCCTCGAAAAATTACAAGAGAGAGTCCCCGCAGGCAGGAGTGTTGTGGTCATGCTTCTGTCACCAAATTGCTGCATGACTAAGACAAGGCCCACCCTCCCCTTCCTGGACTTAGTTCTTCACCTGTAAGATGTGGATATTCCAAGCAGGTTTTCTCTAGGCTATTTTCCAGCTCTGAAATGCCACAGTTTCATGCTGAGTGTTCAGACCTGCAATAGAAAGAATATTTTAATTTTCAGGATGACAGTATAGCCTAGTGGCTGAGTGCAGGCCCCCAGCAATAGGTTACCTGATTTTGAATTGTTTGCACCATCTCTTTTTATTTGTGTGCCCTCAGACAAATTTCCTAACCTTTTTGAGCTTTAAATGGCTCACCTGGAGAAGGGGTATACCAATAGTACCTGTCCTACAGGGTTGTTGTGGGCATAAAATCAGGTATTGTCAAAAATTTGGAAAAGCATCTAAACTGTGCCAAGTAATAGAGCACTTACTAGCCACATATGGTTAGTGTTGGTTGAGGAATTGAATTTTTAATTTAATGTAAATTATTTAAAATTTAAAAATACTCAAGCCGTGTAAAATATTTTTCCATTAAATGCACCTTTATTGTTTTAGTAAGGCTATGTTTTACTTGAACCATTGCATTGTGTAAGACTGGGATCAGCAAACTATTCCTGTAAAGGGCTAGGTGGTGGATATTTTAGGCTTTGTGAACCATATGGCCTTTGCTGCAACTACCTGACTCTGCCCTTGAACTATGAAAGCGGATATGGACGATATGTAAACAAAGGAGAGTGGCGTTGTTCCAAAAAATCTTTATTTATGGACACTGAAATTTGACTGTCATACAGTTTTCACATCACAACTATTTTTCTTTTGATGTTTTTCAGACATTCAAAAATATAATACCCATTCTTAACTCACAGGGTATACAGAAATAGGCAGTGGGTTGGACTTAGTTCATAGGTTTATGCCCAAAATAAATTAATTCATGTCCATCAAAAACCATTTATTAGAATGTTTGTAATAGCTATATTCATAATGGCCCCAAACTGGAAACAGCCCAGATGTTTATCATAGGAGAATGGATTTAAAAAAAAATCTCAATATATTCATAAAAATGGATTATTCCATAGCAATGAAAAGGAATAAACTATGTCTACATACAGTACACTGGATGATTCTCACAGACAAAATGTAAGGGAAGCTAGTTTCAAGGATAAATACTGAGTGATTCCATTATGTGAAGTTCTATAATGGCAAAGGTAGTTTGGATTTAGGTATTAGAACAGGGGTTGCCGAGTGGGACAAGGAGAGGGGATTAACTAGAAATGGATGTGAAGGAAAATTCTATAGGATGGAAATGTCCTATCTTAGTTTGGGTGTATGTTCTTATATATACATTTGTCACATTCTTCAGATGGTACACTTAAGATTTATGTAAATTATCCCTCCATACAAAATACTCCTTACGTAATTTTAAAAGAAATCAATTAGTTGTTAACATTTAACATTATAATATCTCTTAGTAAAATCCAGATTTCTGGCCACAGTGGTCCACATTCCCTCGTGTCAACCATCAACTGGAATTGTGCTGTTCTAGTAGGGTAGCCAGTAGCCATACTAGTGTGGCTACTGAGCACTTGAAATGCGGTACGTCTGAATCAAGGTGTGCAGTGCATGTAAAAACACCTGGGACTTTGAAAGGTCTGAAAAAAAGAATGTAAACTACTTCATTAATAATTTTTATCTCGATTATATCTTATAATAATATTGGGTTGAAATAATTATTAAAATTAATTTCACCTGTTTCCTTTTTATTTGGAAAAGTTTTGAAAAATTGTGATAAAATATACATAACATAAAATTTACCATAAAATTTATCTTAACTGTTTTTTTTAAAGTAATCTCCACACCCAGTGTGGGGCTCAAACTCATGACCTTGAGATCAAGAATTGCATGTTCTACCTACTGAGCCAGCCAGGTGCCAGCCAGCCATTTTTTAATTGTACCATTTAGTACATTCATATTGTGCAACCATGTCCACCATGCATCTCCAGAACTCTTTTCATCTTAGATACATGAAACTCTATAGCCATTAAACAGCTCTGCATTTCCCCTTGCCCTAGTCACAGGCAACTGCCATTCTGCGTTCTGTCCCTATACATTTGACTATTGATCCTTCATATAAGTCAGTCATACAGTGTTTGTCTTTTTGTGACTTGCTTCTTCACTTAAAAAATATTGTAGTTACTACACAATTTACAATTATGTATGTGGCTCGCCTTCAATTTCTAGTGGACAGTATTGAAGGACAGTGAACAGCAGCTGCCATTTTAGATGGAACATGGGCTCTCTGCTCAGCCCCACCTCTCCCCATTGTCATTTACCATTTGTTATTCCATTTCTGTTTTATGTTTACATTTTTTCTAATTGAGGAAATGGAAGTATTTCTTATATTCATGTCTCCATCAAATATGGAAAATGAAAGGATTTTTCCCTTACTTTTTAGAGGGTCAGATGTTTAGAAGCATAGTTTTCTTTGTGGAAGGGAAAAAGTCATTTATATTTAATATACAAAGTGTTTCTGTGTTCAAAGACTACAACCTAAGATGACATTATGAAACAAATTACTGCCTTGGATGGCTGTACTCATTGTCTCCGTGGCCCCCATAAACCTTTAATTTGAACTCTATTTCCTTGTGTTAACTTAATTCAGTTTAGGAGAAAAGATTCTAACCAACTACTACAAATGGCTCTTGTCTTGTGATTACTTGACACAGATAGCAGATACTTTATTGATTAATTTTTGAATGAAATTTCACTATTAAATATGTTCTCCATATGACTACAAAAAAACATTGAGACTGAATATTTACAAACTAGAGTTGTACTTTTGACTTTTAGAAAGCTTGGAGCAGTTAAGGGAGATAGCAACTTCATGAAAGTTTTCAGTGATAGGATTATTATTATGTATGGTTACAATTCTGTTAAGTGAGAGTTGTTTAAAACCACATTAAGCAAAGAAAGTACAAGAGAAATTCAGCTGTATTTTGTGTTTTACTGTTTGGTGGCCATCTGCAGGAGAGAGGTTCTTTGCCAGGTGAATAGTTCTGGAGAAATGCCATCGCCAGGGAAGGAGACTGTGTGATGTGACAGTGTCCTAAAGGATATCTGGGAGTCCTAGTATAATAATAGTTGATATTCATCTTCTCGTGTTTGTATTCTATTGTTCCCAGAATTATGTGTTGAACACCCAGTAAAACACTGGTCAGGGAGTTTACAAACGTGAACATTTACTTCTCTTCTTCCTCAAGTAGTGTTTGGAAGTAGAGTCATCCTCTTATGGGCAATCAGGGTGCAAATTATTTTATGTGATTTTGTTCCATCTTTTTAGATACCTTTTGCAGACTGAACTGAAACAAACACCTTTCTGAGAAGATAACCGTAGGATGAGCTTATATTTGATTTATGAAGAATCTAGGTTTTCTTTTCTTCTGCCTTTTTTTCTTTTGAAGTCCCTTCCTGCCTTGAGTACTGGAGAGCTGCTGAGGTTGGGAAACATTACCATGATCAAAATGGTGGCCATCCTCTCTTTAGAGGAGAGTCCTGGTTTAATTTTCCAGGTTGCTTATTCTATTTATGTCTCTTGGGCCTTTGGCTGATTGATCATGCAGGGAGTCATCATATTGCCTACTTCTTTGAATCAAATGTGGACATAGCAACTAAAAATAAACATGATGTGGATATTAGAGAACCAGGGGCCTTCTTTGCCTGGGGAGCTAGGATACTTGGTTGTTGTTGCTAAGATGTTTTCTGGCTTTAGCACAGCATCAATCAGTGGAAATGCAGCTGTGTTTGGAATAGAGCGCTGATGGAAGTGCAGAGGCACGGTGATGAGTATTATCCTGAACAATGGATACAGATGCAAATCATTATGCATAATCCATAATATTATCCCCATTTTTGGAGTTCTTTGTGTTGTGTGATTGTGTGTGATTTGCTGTGCTGAGAACTAGAAGTGTGCCAAAGCATCATTTGTTTCAGAATAGTTTTATCAGATATTTGAGAGATAAGTAAATATTCCAGACTGTTGCGTTTCAGCTCTTTGTAGCATTGTGAGTGTGGCTATTGGTTTTGACAGTAGAATCTGGCTGAACGTTGGACTGATGGCTCTAACTTGATACCATTTTCCTTATTCTATTGTGAAAAGACAATTGGAGATCGAGTGTGAAAATTCCTTAAGGAATGACATAGGGTGAAAACCTGTTTTACCCAGTAAGTTTGCCCTAGGAATGAGCGGCCTGTCTGTAGGGCAGCAGCTCTAGGCACTGACAGCTCTGCCAGAGATGATGAGCTGTGCGATCTTGGGGGTGTTACTTAGCTCCTTTGTGTTTGTTTCCACATCTGTAAAAGAAGGCTAATGATAGTCTTACCTTATTGAATTGTTGTGAGGATTAAATGACTTAACATTTGCAGATCTTACAGTAGTGTCTGGCATATTAATATGTGTTGTATAGGTTTTGCCTCCTTCATTTGCCAATTACTGTGTTTATACAATATCACATCCTTCTTGCTGGTGCTGGACTAAAGGCTGAGGTGGGAGAGCAGTCCACAACCTGAATATCCTCTGCAATGATTTGACAGCATTTAAAAATGTGAAGCCAGAACGCTTTGTTGTAAAGCAGAAGCATTTTTCTCTCACGGCATTATTAGAGTCTTCATTATGTCAAAATAAAAATTTAATCTATATTTAGTGCTCTGGAATTTTTCCTCAAAAGTGATTCATCTTTTGGCCATTGAGTCCCGCTTTTCACAGTTTTAAAATGAAGCCTTACTTGAGCTTCTCTGATTCTGGTCCTAAAGAACTGCCACTGCCTCGCTTTATGATGTCAAAGACTGATGCTGACATACGATTCGGGAACCCGGCGGAACTGCATGGCGCTAAGGTTCAGATTCCATATTTAATCACAGAAAAAAATACCTTCAAAAGAATGGACGATGAGGATAAACAGGTAAACAGTCTGATAAGGCATGTCCTTTTGATTCTGACCATGAAACCTCACGTAGCAGTGCCTCATATCTGCTGTCAAGCTTCTAGCAAACCTCACCATCTGGGATTCAATTATAGACTTGGAAGTCAGCCAGTAAAGTTTCCTTGTAGCAAGAAAAAGCAGCTGACATATAGCCACCCCTGGGCCCTTTAGAGCCTACTTGAATGTAGAACTGTGTCCAAAGTAAAACTACTGATTTAACACACTTACTTGATTTCTCTAATCAGCATTTCCAAATGGGTTCTTTGAAATGTAGCTTATAGGAGTTTTTTTATTTTTTATTTTTTTAAGTAAACCCTACACCCAGTGTGGGGCTTTAACTCAGGACTCCATGATCAAGAGTCACACGCTCTACTGATTGAGCCAGCCAGGCATCGCTAGGAGTTTTTAATAGACCCTCTCCTCACAAAAAGTTTGGAGAAAAGGTTTCAGTGGTTAAATATGTTTGGAGAATGCTGCTTCATATTCTTTTCTTGGGGGAAAGACTACATCCTCAGGCTTGGAGAGTTATAGTGCACGTTAGCACATTCAAGGCCCTGAGAAGTCCTGCTGTAAAGAGACCTGGAGATTTGTGTTTACTAAACTTCTTTGACCAGGGAATCTTTTCTTGCAGAGCATGTTTGGAATTCCATCTTGGGAAATGCTGCCATTACACATTTAGCAGGTTAGGGACAAGGATAGGGAGGATGGGCTTTTAAAATTAGAGCACTAATTGCTATAGTCAGGTGGTGATTGATAGAGACAGAAGTATAATATCTCAGAAGAGTGAGCCTATCAAGAAAGAGGTAAATAGTCTTACACATTAGTAAACCCTGAGGGCATCAAGGTACAGCTCATGCTTCTAATAAAGGTACTGAATCATGCAGAAAAGTCAAATTATATTCAATATAATATCTTCTGTAAGACAAAGAAATTTGCCATACAAATATTCTTTTCTTTGCTAGAAGACTTGATAAGTGTAAATCCAGGAAATAGGAGCCTTTATTAATGAATGAAATTTGAATTTACCCACAAAGAGATCAGATTTGGGACGTATGAATGCCTTTTCATGTGATCATTGTCTTCCATTTTCCAAAGGAAAATTTTAGCGGAATAACTGAAAGCATTTCAGGCTTGTTTTAGTAAATTAGGCAACTAAGCGCTGGTGAGACTTTGTTCTCTGGGAGATGTGAATCCTCAGACACGGCATTTTAACCAAACTGTGTTTTTGAGAAAACATTCCTTCCATTTGTTAAATCAGCCATCTCGCCGGCAATAGAGTTGCATTATACTTCATAACTGCAGCTCAGAGCGCCAGGCTTCTCGAGTGATTGGCTCTGAACTCTGCTCTGGTTCTTTTGAAGCAGGAAACACAGTCTCCCACGATGTCACCCCTCGCCTCCCCTCCTTCTTCCCCGCCTCATTACCAGAGGGTGCCCTTGAGCCATGGCTACAGCAAACTGCGGAGCAGCACAGAGCAGATGCATCCAGGTAAGAGGCGATCTTGTTCAACTGTCCCAGGCAGTGTCTTAGAGACTCCTTAGTCTATCAGCCAGCAGTGCCACCAGCTGCTGAATCTCTGGACTTAATTACCTCTGTCCTTGAAAACATGGCTCAATTTAATTTTATACTCTCAAGGTTTTTTTTTTAAAAAACTAAAATGAAATATATCTTAGTAATGCCTTGTCTCCTATCCTACAGACTAGTTTATCTTTAGACTTGTAAATGATTTAGATGATTTAATCCTTTGTATACAGATTTCATTACACAGGAACATAGCACGTGAAAGATGGGTATTGTTTTGGAATTGTTCCTTTTTTTTTTTTTTTAAGATTTTATTTATTTATTTGACAGAGAGAGACACAGCGAGAGAGGGGACACAAGCAGGGGGAGTGGGAGAAGCAGGCTTCCCGCAGAGCGGGGAGCCTGATGTGGGGCTCAATCCCAGGACCCTGGGATCATGACCTGAGCCGAAGGCAGACGCTTAATGACTGAGCCACCCAGGCGCCCCGGAATTGTTGTTCCTTTCAGCAAACATTCCAAACATATTTATATAACAACTGCTTTTATGAAACTACTTAAAAATATAACTCTGCAAAAGCAAAAGAGTTGATTCAACCTTTAAAGACCAATCACATAATGAAAATATTTAGCTCTTGTGTTTGGGAATAAGAATAAGGGACATAAATGGTAGGGGAAGCATTTGCTGAGAAATGTGTATAGTGCCTAGTTGTGGGGTTGCCTGGTTGCTCACATTTAATCTATGCTGGCCATGTTCGTGGTAAAATACATTAGTTGGTTCCGAGGATGACTTGCAGAGTTGGCCATCTCGCCTGCGGTGCCTAAAGCTCCATAAATTCACTGCAGCATCTTGTCCTCCTGGGGCTCAGGCTCGTAGTTTAAGATAGGACCAATTAAAGGTATTCTAGAATTGGTTATCCGTAACCTTCCTTTTGTACTTTGTGGACTGTGTTTGAAAATGACCCAGTTTCTGCAGGTTTTTGCTGCATTGAAAATAGTGGTGAGTTCTAGAGGGACACAGATAAAAATGTGTGCTAGGCTAAAGAGAGGTTGTAATCTTGTAGAGAGGAGCGGGTGTGGCATAATGGAAAAATCTTTTGATTGGAATCAGAAGGCATGGGTTTAATGTGACTAGCTATGTGATCTTGGGCAAGCCATTGAACTGCTCTGAACTGTGATTTCCTCTCCTCTTTTAAAATGGGGTAACAGTATTCTATAGGGGTTTTGTGAGGATTAGTGAGAACACAAGTATAAAGTCTGATGGGAAATTCAGTCCTATGCAAATGCAAGATGATGTTATTAAGGGTTAGTAACAAAAAATGACTCTCCTGAAACTTGGATGACCCATTAGAGTCTGAAACGAAATGAGAATTCTTCATTTTCCTCTTATAGTCTCTTCTGCCTGACTTCCCTAGTTTTAGAAATGGAGTTTTTTTTTTTTTTGATTCCTAATGTTATTTGGGCTTGGACACTGGAGTTTTATGCCCAGCGTGGTGCCTGTTTTTTGGCTTTTAATTCACAGGTGAGTCATTTTTTGTTCTACTGAGTCAGCCTATTACCAAGTTCGACCCTATCTTTTTTTGTTATTCCTTTAACAACTTGTCTGCATTTGCTCTGTCTACTCCTTGCCCCGATCTTTCCTCATTCCATTCACATTGGGCTTCCATTCCACCATTGGCAGGGAGACAACCCGCTTCTCTCCATCTTTCTCGACTCTTAGAGGCCTATGTCACGGCTGACCATGCCTTCGTTCTGTTTTATTGTTTTCTAAATGATAAAATGCACACATTTAAAAATCTCCAGTTTGAGTTTTAACATCCATGTAGCCACCGCTTTGATCAAGAACAGAACATTTATGTCACCCTTTCCAGTCACTCCTTGGCCCCCATTGTGAGGACTGTTCTGACTTTTATCACCTTAGATGAGTTTTGTCTCTTTTAGAACTTGATATAAATGGAGTCCTCTTGAATGGTTATACTCTTATGTGTCTGCCGTCTTTCCCTCAGCACAGTGCTTGAGATTCATCCATGTTGTTCTGGGTCTCAGTAGTTTGTTTCTCTTTATTACTCAGTAGTGTTTCGTGTGAATGCAGCACAATTTGATGATCCATTTTCCTGTTGATGGACATTTGGGTTGTTTCCAGTGTTTGGCTGTTATGAGTAAGGATACAATGAACGTTTGTTTGTGAGTCTTTTTGTGACATATATTGTCATTTCCCTGGCACCTAGGAGTAGAATTGCTGTACCTTAGGGAAGGTGTATAAGAAACTGCCAAAGAGTTTTACCAAGTGCTTGTATATTCCTACTGGCGATGTATGAGAGTTCTGTCTTCCTTGCCAGCATTTGGTTCTCTCATTGGTTTCCTTTTCTTCAGTGCTTTTAATTGTAGTCATTCTATTAGATGTGAAGACATTTCCTTGTTGTCACTTTTTATTCTTGGAATGTATTTTTCTAAGTTACCCCTTCCTGTTTTTTTTTTCCCTGATATCATGAACCTTAAACTTGATGAGCTACTGTTCCAGAGGGTTCTTCTTTGCACAGCATACCCATAGAGAGGAGTGTGAGTGAACTCTTTAGTTGCCTGTTTCTCAAAGAGTTTGAGTTTTTTGGGTCTAGCCATTGATTAGGGTCCTTTAACTGGAAACAAGGTCATTCAGAAATAAAATGTTTACAGGTGCTGCCATGTAGATTTCTCTAAGTCAAAGGAAGGGAGAGTTTTTCTAGCTGCGACTTGGTTCAGTCTTGTGATTTTTGCTTCTAATTGATAATATTCACCTCAAAGCTTGTTCACTCCTATTTTTGTAATGTCTGTAGATTCTCCCCCAGAGGATTTTCTTGGCCTGTCTTCTTCCTTTTCTTTCATATATCCTTAGGTCAAGAAGTAAGAGAATCCCACATGTCTTCATTCTCTCTCTCCCCACATTTTCAGAACTCAGTTTTTCTTTTCTTTCTTTTTTTTTTTTTTTAAGATTTTATTTATTTGCGAGAGAGAGAATGAGAGACAGAGAGCATGAGAGGGAGGAGGGTCAGAGGGAGAAGCAGACTCCCTGCCGAGCAGGGAGCCTGATGTGGTACTCGATCCCGGGACTCCAGGATCATGACCTGAGCTGAAGGCAGTCCGCTTAACCAACTGAGCCACCCAGGCGCCCCAGAACTCAGTTTTTCTTAAGGCTTCCATGCTCTTTTCCATCAGTTTCTTAACTCTGTTGCCTTCACCATGCCATCAACCCATCTGACAAACCCAGGATTCTCTTTCCTTTTTCTGTACTCCATCTTCCCTTTGATCTAAATAGTAGCATATCTAAAATCTGTTAAATCTTAGTGACTCTGGTAGTAAGCATTGTTGGAGTTATTCTTTTTTTTTTTTTAAATTTGAGGCAGAGAGAGAGAGAGTGCGTGGGAGTGAGTGCACGAGCGTGGGGAAGGGGCAGATTCCCCGCTGAGCAGGGAGCCCCATGCGGGGCTCAATCCCAGGACCCTGGGATCATGACCTGAGCCAAAGGCAGTCGCTTAACCAACTGAGCCACCCAGGCATCCCTAGAGTTATTCTTAATTTATGCCTTTTCAGAAAGGAGTCTCACTGCTGGAATATTTTTCTAGGAATACATTTTTCTGGGGTCATTTTCCTGTCCAAGATTCTGCTATGATTCCTGGCTAGTGGGGAATATATGTCAGTATGTTTTAAATCAGACTGAGTGTCTCCAGACCAGTCTGATTCAGAGCCCCTCTTCGACTTCTCTCCTGGCTCCTGCTAGTCTGACTTGCTGGATGTACCTATAGTTAACATTCAGTGGCTAAGACTTGTGTGCCAGGCATCGTGCAGAGATCTTCATGTGCATTATTTGCTTCTTAGCACAACCTTCAGAGGCAGATCCTGCTACTCATATTTAAAAAACGGTTAAATCACGGTTATAACATCCATATAGTTAAGTAATATTTAAATACCTGTAGTGAAAACAACTGTTCTCCTTCCCACTCAACCTATTTCTGATCTCCAGAGGCAACTACTTTCAAATCTTATCTGTTTCTTCTGATACCTAAGGTCTTATCTCCATATCAAGGTACCTGTTCTGTTTTTTCTTACACATCTTATTCTGACGTATCAATTCTAGGAATGTACTCTCTTAAGAGTATGGGCTATGATGTCAGTCTCCTGGGTCTAAAGGTAGACTTGGTGAGCCTGTGTTTCTGGCCTGTGTGACTATGGATATGTCACTTTTCTGAGCTTCAGTTTCTCTTATCTGTAAAGTGGAATAACATCTGTTTCAGAGGTTTGCTGTGTGGATCAAATAAGGACTGTTATATAAACCTCTGTGCCTAGCAGTTCCTGGCACACTGTAGGTGCTCCAATGTTGCCTAGTATTTTCTTTTGTGTTTTTAGAATCTGCTACCTGTTTTATTTCTGAAGCTCTTAAGTATTCTTGAAAGTCACCTCCTGGATATAATTCATTAGGTTGACTGCAGATGTAGAGTCTTTATTGTGCAGTTACTAGTGGTCCCTGTTCTAGTTTGACACTGAATCTCAGAGTGATGAAATCTTTAGGGTTCATTTTATACTCCTCCCTTTGGAGAAAGATGATACTTCTAGTTCCTTATTAAACCTCTCATAAGGGTATCTAAGAATTATTTCCTTTTCGTTGAATTGAACGTTCCAGGTTTTATTTGGGAGGAAGGAGAGTAGAGGCAATAAGTAGCGCCTTTTTACCTTCTGAGTTGAGATCCAACTGAGGATTGAGACAGGAGTCAGACTGATGATGGTCAGATTATCAGCTCTGGTACTGACAGAGCTGATCGGAGCACGTGTTTTAGATTTGTAACCAGATGGGCTTCATACACTCACCTTTCCAGTCACCAGCTGGTGTGGCCAACCCAGGCTTCCCACAGGAGTAGGAAGAGAAAATCTGCCGTTGAGGCCAGGCCTTTCCAAAAATGATCCCTCATGCAGATGAGTCTTTGTTCAAGCCTTACTGATGAGATATGTCTATTTCTTCTGAGGGAAGACCCTTGTAGGTAAGGGACTGGAGCCATGGGCCATATGGCTTCCTTGCATATGTGTCCTCCTTTGCAGTAGAAGCTCCCTCCCTCTGAGGGAAACCTGAAGCATGGGGGATCAGCTACCCAGGGAAAGCTCATGACCACTAGTCTCCCAACCATGGTATAGTTTACTATGGTTCAAAACTTCTGGCATTGAGAGTTTAATTCTGGCATTGGGTATTCCATCAAAATGGAATGATCTTAAAAATCCATCTTTGACTGAACTCTGCCTCTGAAACTAATAATATACTATATGTTAATTAATTGAATTTAAATAAAAAATAAAAATAAATTAATTTTAAAAATCCTAAAAAAAAAAAAAATCCTTCTTTGAAGGACACCTGTCTACCAGCTGAGACTTATCTCCTTCTTTTTTTTTAAAAAAAACGATTTTATTTATTTATTTGACAGACAGAGACATAGCGAGAGAGGGAACACAAGCAGGGGGAGTGGGAGAGGGAGAAGCAGGCTTCCCGTGGAGCAGGGAGCCCGATACGGGGCTCGAGCCCAGGACCCTGGGATCATGACCTGAGCTGAAGGCAGACGCTTAATGACTGAGCCACCCAAGCGCCCCTGAGACTTATCTTCTAAGATTTGGATTATGTGTTCTCGGGTTTGTGTCTTTTGCAGTTTATATATTTTTATTTATTCTTAGCAGGGTCTGAAAATCTATTTAATGCTTTGCTAGGTAATGATTTTTGATGTTCTAATGTATTTTAAATGTGTTATAATGTTGTGTTCCAGTCCCTTGGAGGAAATATAAAAAGCAGATGTGAGCCCAAGAGTGGTTTGCTGTTCTTACACCTCCTTTCTTTTCAAATGATCAAAGTATGCTAAGGGTGCTGCCATAACAGGCTGCCCTGCTCTCTCTACCTAATTTTATTTATAAGGAAGCTGTAGGAAGAAAGCATATTACTTCTTTTTTTTAAAGATTTTATTTAATTATTTGAGAGAGAGCGAGAGCACGAATCGGGGGGGAGGGGTAGAGAGAGGGGGAAAGGGACAAGCAGACTCCCCGCTGAGCAGGGAACCTAATGCGGAGCTCGATCCCAGGATCCTGAGATCATGACCTGAGCAGAAGTCAGATGCTTAACTGACTGAGCCACCCAGGGGCTCCAGCATTTTACTTCTTGATATACTTCCAAAAAGTTGAATTGTTAGCCAGAAATGTTAATCAAAAATGGTTTCATCATGGGTGATAATTTCTCCTTTCTGTTAGCCCTGAATACTACCTGGTTATGTTTAACTGTTTTCCTACCATATTGACAAGATCATTATGAAGTGTTCTGGAAATAAAAGGAATAAAAAAATGCATTTGTTTTTGTGGCATAAGAACTTTTCTCAAAGTCAGCAAAATTATTTTTTGTTTGGTTATTGAAAGATAAAATAAATATAAAATACATTTATTCCTTTTTGTACTTTTCTCTCCTTGGTTTTACATTCTTTCCAATAAGGAAAAGAAGACTGTGCCATTTATTTTTGAAAAATGAATGATAATGTTGATTCTTAGTGTTCAAAATGCATATTTATTTTCTTGGTGCTTTGGAAGATGGATGATGAATGCAAGACTTTTAAACCAGTGGGTATATATAGAATTTACCTGATATTTAGAATTTGAGCATTTATAACATGGCACTTTTCTGACTCTTATTATTGCTTTCAATTGCAGTTTAGATTCTTAACAATTCCACCCTTCTAATTTATTCCTAATCTCAACTTGATGTAAATATTTTCCTGTCTTTTCATGAATCAGTTGAATGTCTTTAGATTGCTTCCCTAAATTGTACCCAAGGTTGGTTTGTGCAAGGTGGCCCTATGTACATAAATTCTAATTCCTTTGCTAATTCTTCTCTGAAGAACAGACACTCTCAGTTTGAGTGTGAAGTCATAATTTTTGGGTGGAATCTTTTTGTACTGTGCTGACTTTTCCTCCTGCTTTTTCAGCTCCTTACGAAGCTAGACAGCCCCTTGTCCAGCCTGAAGGACCCTCGTCGGGGGCCCCAGGAGCCAAGCCCCCTCGGCATCAGGCTTCCCTTATTCGGGTAAGTGATGTTGTGGGGCTATGCCAGTGGGAGACTTTGGGGACATGAATTTTTGATGGGCCCTCATTTTTTTTTTTTTTTTTTGTAAGGGAGATTTAACACTGCCCCCTTATGCAAATATTGCACTTCTTGTTCTGTTGCTTATATATTTTCATAAATCTTTTTTTTTAAGTTAAGTTCTACCCCCAATATGGGGTTGAACTCATGACCCCAAGATCCAGAGTCTCATGACCTACTGACTGAGCTAGCCAGATGCCCCTGTTCTCCTACATCTTTTTTGTAATGTGTGTTTCTACCCTTTCTCAGTGTCTCTAGACTAATCCAAGCTGGTTCTTGGTCTTTTGTATGTCTAAAACGCCCTTCCACCTACATCATTAGGCACCTCTTTCAGGAGTGCTTTATTTTTTTCCAAAATAGCCTATCTTATTTCTGCCTTATTCTTTATTATTATTCATTCAGTGCATACTTAGCTGTTGCACTTTGTTTTGTGCCTCCAATCACATTGCAAGCTTTTGGAAGGCGGAGGTAGTTCTTCTGCATTCTGTCTCAGGGCCTAGTCCCTGCTGTTTGGAGGACAGTTATTTTACATGTGGCAGTAACTGCTGTTTCTTATATGTAATAGATATAAAAGGAATATTATGGCAGACGAACAAGTGATGTCTCCATTTCTCCTGGCTTAGAAAATTTCAGCTTCCCTTTCTCCAGTGTTGTCTTTTGGATAAAGAACTGTTATTATTTTCATGTCTGCAACTGTTATCTTGTGTAGTGTCTCTGAATCCTATGCTGGGGAAGTCATATTCTCAAAAAAGGGTGTGTGCTTGCTGGTGTGTGTGTCTACATGAGAGGAATTATGAAAAAACTGGGTGTACTGTTTGACCCTAAAGACAAGAGGAAGTTGGGTGGTTTGTATGACATTTTGGTTATCCAACTTAGGAAGAAGGATCACTTACGCAGTGGCAGTTCTACTCAGAATAGAAGGGTAGTGTCAGATATTCCTATAAAGAATTGGGCTGCTAGTCTCAAACAGAATAGACAAAGGCTAAGGACAGATCATGGTGTTCAATGACTACCCTCTGGGAATGGGGCAATCTCTTCGGCCCAGAACTGTGTTATGGACAGAACTTTATCTTCTAAGGTGGTAGTCTGTGTACAAAGAACTTTCTTAAGGATAATAATTTAGCCATATGCTGTGTATTTATATTTAATGCTTCCTACAACTGTAAGATCTAGGTACTGTTTTATCTGCTAGTGTAGATGAGTTAACTGTGGCCAAGAGAGGTCTAAGGTTTTATTCATAACTAGTAAGTGGCAGAACCAGAATTTGAAGCCAGGTCTGCCCAGTGTCAAAATCTGCACTTTAAAATATTTTACTATACATTAGGGTTCTATATTATAGGGAGGCTAGATTCTGGAGTTGCTACATAAACTGACTTTGGGTGTAGTAAAAAATATTCCTGATGATCCCTTACTAGTACCATATTGGAGAGCCAAGATGCCATTCTCTCCTCTGTCCAGTAGAGCTCACCTTCACCCCCAAGTTGGAACAAAGAACTCTTTATTTAGCTGAGCCCCAGATGTAGTAGTTGGCTGTGTTGTGAGAGGGCCTGTGTTATAAAAATATGTCTTTAAACATAAGAATCACACCCACTGTGGGAATGATGGTTACGTTAAGAAAGGTGTAGGGGGGACTGGGATTCATCTAGAAAATTCTCTAGGATGTGGCTGTGCATGTGTGTACAGAGTGTATCTTAGTGCCATGGAGACCTAATCCTGAATTGTTAGAATAGTGGTCAAACAAGCAGTAAATCATGAACTTTGCAGTGGTCAGGTAGGGCTTACCAGACCCTTTCTACCTAGTCCTCTGGATGGGATGCCTTGGGTTTGTACTTGGATTCATGTCCTATGACTTCTCTTCAAATCTCTGGGTCCATGTTTCCTGCTGGTAGACATGCTTCGTGGACACTTCATTCAGCTGATGTTTACTAAACACCTATTAAGTGCCAGGTACTGTGTTGAGGATACAAAAATGAGGTTTAACACTTCTAGTCCCTGCCCTCATTGAGCTTATACGCAATTGGGGGAAGTGGCCAATAATCAAAACATTGCACAGTAAATATGTCATTATGTGTTGTGAATGGAAATTACACTGCTTTGAGGATGAAAAACAACGTGTGGGGGCACAGTTATGACCTACCCTTAGCTGGTAGGGGGCAATCAAGGAAGGCTTTTATTTTTATTTTTTAAAGATTTTATTTATTTATTTGAGACAGAGAATGAGATAGAGCATGAGAGGGTCAGAGGGAGAAGCAGACTCCCTGCTGAGCAGGGAGCCCGATGTGGGACTCGATCCTGGGATTCCAGGATCATGACCTGAGCCGAAGGCAGTCGCCCAACCAACTGAGCCACCCAGGCACCCAAGGAAGGCTTTTAGTGGGGTGTCACATTTGAGTTGAAATGAGAAGGATTCATAGGTGTTAACCAGGTCAAGGGATGGGAATGGGGGGAGTAGGCAAGAAGATAGAGGGCACTGCGCTTACAGGACTAGAAAATAGTCTGTTTTCTAGTGCTTAGCATTTTATACACATCATCTTCTTTAGTGCTCGCCGCTGTGTTATGAGGTAATTCCTGTTATCTCATTTTTTTCCATGTACCAGTCATCTTTTATTGGATGTTAATTCTCAGTTAGGATATGAAAGGATTCAAGGGTGCCAGGCAAAGGTCATGGTCAGGAATGCAGAATGTGCCTCCACACTGGGCCGTCTTCAGTGGTCCTTGTAACAATGACAGTAGTTGAAAAGCACGTAAGCTGCCGGCACCATAGAAATCCCAGCGATGCCCCCACTTTCTTCACATTGACATACTTATTTATAATACTGGTTGGTAGTAACCTCTTTGAAATGCTCCAGCAGCACCTTTAGGGTGAAATCCCACATCAGTATCCAGCTTGGTAGCTCTTCTAGTTTGCCATGAGCTGCTTCTGCTTCACTGGTATGGATGAAGCCATCTTGGACTCCTGGGTGTCCCATTTATTAGATGACAAAACCTGAGGTTTAAAGACCTTATTTAATTTACCCAGAGTCACAGCTAGGAAGTGATAGGGCTGGAGTTCAAACACAGGACATATTTTCTTAGTCTGGCTCAGGAACCAGATAGATGGTGATGATATCTGGTAAGCTAAGAAGCCCTGGATGAAAAACTGGCATTGAGAGTATTAGGGAAAGATCATGAGTTCAGTGTTGGATGTTGGGATTTGAGCTTTTGGGATAGCCAAGAGGAGGTGTCAAAGAGATGGTAGGAAATATGGCTCTGGAACTTTGGGGAGAGCCAGGGCTGGACATCAGTATTTGGCAGTTGTTGGCCATTAGAAGGACTTATGGTCTGGTGCAGAAAAAAACAGATGGGTTCTTACCCAGGTCTGGCCAAACTGTGTGACCTTGGGCAAGTTTCTTCTCTTTTCTGTAACATGAATGACTTGGAATGGATTTAACAGTCCATTGGAATAATCTGCAATAGTCTGACTCCCTTAATGTTTGTTTGGCATCAGTGGAAGCCCCGCCCCTACTCCCTCCTGATTGGAGTATTGCCTTCTGTTTAAGATGAGAACAAGGGGCCTTCCTTGGGACAGCAGTTTGTGGTTTTCATGGCTGATGTGTTTTTCTTGCTTTTGTTTCTAGGTTTCCTTCTTATGCCTGTCATCTTGGTTTGGCTGAACTCCAATTCCCAGAAAGGAAAATGCCAGCCTGAATTAGTCATGTAGATGAGGGGATCTAAAGAGAAGGTTTTTGGTGGTAGGGGATTAATATGGATTGGGGCTGGTAGTAGGCTAGGCTGGGGTAACTCATTCCCATCACATTGCCACGTTAGTGTGCTGTTGGCAACCTTGCTCTCTTCTAGCTTCCTCTGTGGACTTGTATTCAAGTTGTTTCTTATGATTGGAAGGGGAGTGGCCTCTGGGTACTTAGGGAGGTTATTCAGGACCCTGGGCCAGTGCTCTTGCAGCTCATGAACTTGGCATTTTAGAGATGCTTATGCCAAATTCAGCACCCAGATATTGGCATGAATAATTTTTTTTTTGTCTAATATTTTAGAAATTTCAGGGTTTTTTTGTTTAGGGTTGGAAGTTTTTTCCCTTGAAATTTCAGATACTGAGCATATCCTAGATCAGTGAATGGTTGACAGTGATTTGTAAAGAAATACTAAGTCTTTGGGGCACCTGGGTGGCTCATTCGGTTAAGTGTCTGCCTTCACCTCAGGTCATGATCTCAGGATCCTGGGATCGAGCTCCAGTCGGGCTCCTTGCTCAGCGGGGAGTCTGCTTCTCCCTCTCCCTCTGTACCTCCTCCTGCTCGTGTTCTCTCTCTCTCAAATAAAATCTTTAAATATATATATGTACACACACATATATATATATTAGAAATACTAAGTCTTCTTTCCTGATTCATCTGTTTATCATGTGTTTATAGGTCATTTTGTGGTTTACTTTTCACAAATTATCTTAACCATCAACATTTGTAATTGGCTGGTGTAGGATTTAGAATTGTCCCTTTTGCTCCCACTATACTCCGCTGCCTCTGTTTTTGCTGCAGTTGCCAGAAACTACCTTGGGTTAAGTCCTTGTTTCATTGACCCCTTAGCAACTTTTGACACTGACCACCTTCTTGACATGCTCTCAAATTTTGGTGTACATGATGCCATCCTCTCCTGGTTTTCTTCCTGCTTTTGTGACTACTTCTTCCTAATCTTCTTTTTCCATTCTCCTACTTCCACTAGCACCTCACATGTTGGTGATGCCTGGGTCTGCTTCTCACTCTGTTCCTCTTTAGCTATATGGAAGCTTATGACCACATAGCTCCATCTGCCAGACATCCTCACTCACATGTCCCACTGTGAGTTTAAACTAACATGTCTTTCCCACAAAGCCAGCTTTCACCCTTCCATTCCTGGCTCCGTCCATCTATTAGCACGGGCCAGAATGCTAGTCTCTATATTTGGCTTGTCTC